CTAGAAATATAATTTGTAATGTCAACATGTCCAAAATTGTAGAAGGAAAGAAGTCAAGAAAAATTTTACTTATTGATTGAACTTATCAAAAATGTCTAACATGCATATGTTAAGATATAAACAAAAAATGTTATTGTGTTATGTTTACTCAAGTGATATCACTAACGAAAGCTGACATGTGTGAGGAGATAGACATCCGAAAGATGTGTGTTTTTTTCGTGAAATGAGTTAAAGATACATACTACAATAATAATATTCAACCAACCAGCCCTCCTCATTTCATCATTATCATCATCAGCTCATCTCACTCATGCACATACATACACACAAACAGCAATAATGTTTTGACTCCTCTGTGTTTGCCCTGAGGCATTCGAAATGATGAACGTGTTATAGCATGATGGAAATTGCTTAATGCATGGAATGGAGTAGGATGGGAGGATCTATACACAAATGATTGCGTAAACTTCCTTCATGCCATTCAAGAATGAATAAAAAAAAATCGATAAAATTTAAGCAAGTGAAATAAAAATTTATCAATTCTGAATGAAAGCGATGTGCTTATTGACTGACGTTAACAGGATCAAGGGGGTGAGGGATATGAATGATTTAGTGTATGAGAAAAGTTATTTAATATACTTAGACCTCAATTTTAAAAAGTTTCAACAAAGTTTTGAATTTCTGAAAAATAAAACTTTGTCTCACATTCTTAGGCATGCCTGAAAAATTCTTTTCATGAATAAATGAAACAAAAATTTTCAAATATTTTCAGAAAATTTAATGACATCCTCAAAAGAGAAAAAAAGAAATTATTCGATCGCTTCACATCATTATTTTCAAATGTATTTCCTATGTCAATAAAAAAATACATTTTCGTGAATATGAAAGCAGGTTATCATCTTAATCTCAAGGCATTTGTAGAACGAAAAAAATTCAATATTCAAGGTGAAAGGTTTGACAAGAGCTTCGATATTTTGAAAGCTTAGGATTAAAATAATGTTGAAAATGAATAAAATTTTGAATTTTCTTGTGGATGACAGGTGATGTGCGGCATGAAATGTGGTGTATGACATGTGATTTATGCTTTCAATTTCGCAACATGCTTTAGGGTGATGCTGCATGAATTATGAGTGCTTATTTAGATCTCAAGTTTCAAACCTTTTACTTGTTCGTTTTTAAAAAGTTTCTGAACAATCAAATGAAAAGTTCACAACTCTCTGCAAACAAGCTACATTTCCTTAATAATTTTGATCCCTTCCTCAGCATCATCCATAAAGATTTTTATCAATGAAGTTCTATAAATAACCATAACATTCATAATTCATAAAATAGAATAAGTAGTCGTTGGGTAGGAATAATAAATTTCCTTACGACATTGATCAAAACTTCTATTCCTTCTTTTTTCTATCCTAATATTAGATTTCCTATCGTGTACATTTTCTGATTTGAGATCATAAATTTGTCAATATTTTCTTCCACTTATCTCATTTATTTATAAACCGTCCGCAACTTGAAATACATCTTATTCCAACAATTTATCTTTGATAAGAAAACGTATCTTCAGCTTTTTTTTGTGTATTTGAAGTATTGAAAATTAAATCAATAACAATAATTTCTGGTGAATTCATGGAAGCATAAAATTCATTGGATATAAAAATACGGCATAAATAAGAGATTTTTTGATGTTCAAATGGAATTAAATTTGAAATTGAAATTTTTTGATTTTAACTGCGCAGATTTAAAGAGATTTAAAATTTTAATAACTCAAAGTGGATTTTGACTGACAAAGGTTAATTCAGTGAGGTTGACAAGCAGTCAAAATTATGGCACCACCTCAATTTTCATTAAACAATTTCATTTTAAAAATACCTATCGACTTTTTTCGTTTCACATTTTCTCACGTTTTCCATTAAAATTCTTTTTGCTATTGCAAAAGTCAAAAGTATAAAGAAGCAAAAGGCACAAAAAAATAAACAATTGTCTGCATTAGGTATGCAAATATTCGATTTAAAAAAAACATTAAAATTAACAAATTATTGCGGTAGTAAAGAAATTGATAAGCTACGTGACGCTTGCTTTTCGAAGATGCTCGAGGGTACAAGAGGAGAAGATACTTGATTGCTATTGTTGAATTACACGCAACAATACTGTGGAGAGGACGATCGATGGGAAAGTGAATTTAATATCATGAATTGAATTCTTTCGCACATAAATTCTTTAAAGAAAATTCTTTGTGGAACTGTCGGATAGACTTCTTGGTTACAATGAAATTGAAGCTAATAAAAGAAGTGTGATCAGAGGTTTTCTAAGAGAGGGAGTTTTGAATTTTCAGGATTGAGATTATTTTCTTTAAAAAATAAAGAAATTTGGGTTTTTGATCCTTCTCCCCTGCTTGAAATGATGATAATGGTGCTCTTGATTGATGTTCCCATACAACTTACCCTATGAGGAAATTTGATCACTATAAAATAATTAATATTGGCGTTCTACAGTTCCAAAGATAATCAACCAAAAGTTTTACAATCAAATGCGTTCTTAGTCAATTCATCTAAAGTTACCACCTATTTCTCCTTCCCAAAAACACAACAAGTATGAAAAAATTCCGATGGCGACCAGCAACATGTCAAATAAAATGAAAAATCTGGTAAATAATTTCTTGTGTGTGTATAAGATAAATTCTCGAAGGCATCCAATAAATGGCATAAAAGTGAGTTTATTGATAAAATTTTTTACGATTTTTGCTGAGCATTAAATTTATTTTCGTCTAACATTTTTTTTATCAGATTAGAGATCGTAAAAAAAATTTATCGTATTTATTTTTTTAGAGAATAAAATGAAATTTTGCCTGTGGGCGAATAAATAGAAGATGTTTTTGTGTGTGTGTTGTATTTATTTTTTCAACACCATTAGTGAAGCAATAAAATAATTTTTTTTGGCACATCAATTGCACAGGCATAGGAGTCCTTTATTGACAACATTTTAAATAAATACTTCCAGTGGTTCTCTTTTTATCTGATCTAAAAATAAAAAGTTTATACTGTAAACAGCTTAGTAGATAAAATGTCACTTAATTTCAAACTTATTAAGCTTAAAAATTTCCATATTCAAATTTACATATTAGTCATGTGCTGCTGATTGTGGAATTTCGATGAAGTTCTGATGATGATTTTTGGGCGAATATTAATGTTCAGAATTAATTTTCATCTTCTTGTCACGACGTTTTTATTTGTAAAGTATATCAATGCATGCGACTGTCACTAAATTAAGCCATTTCAAGTCTTCAATTAAGTCACACAACTCCACTGGACATTTCTCCTAAAAATGCGCTTTCCTCATCAAATTACATTTCACTTCCATTTTATTCTCATCCATCAAAAGTTTATTTTATGACTCAAGAAAAAAAAAATTTCATTCTGTCCTGAAAATGACCTTTTCATCTTCTCATGCTTTCATCATATTTTCAAATTGAGTTCCGTAAATTCCTATTTTTATCTCTCATTCATTGATGTTCCAATTATGAAATTGAGATGGATATACACATAGAGCTAGTTGAAAGTTCTGAAAGGGTCATGTTTACAAATAAAATACAGCAGCAAATGTTAAATTAAATTTATTTTCTAAACAAAAAAATTTCATTTCAGATCGTAAATATGAAATTTGTCCTAAGTGTGCGGCTGGGAGGTGAAATGAGATCAGTTTTTATTGTCACTGTGGAAATAGTAATTTGTTAAATTTTGATAGAGCTTTTATTGTTCAAAAAATACAATAGGTTTTATGGATATATGTAGAGACTATCCCGAGTGACATAAAGTAGACGAGGACAGTCCAAATAGTGTCTTGTCTATACCGAGTATGAATTGTAAAGTTGAGCAAAACATGAAAAATATTTGTGTATCAAACAAAATCAAGTCTTTAACATTGCATGACAGAAACTTTATAAGTTAAAGCCTATAAAATTTTTAACCATCAGGAAGTCACAAAGTTTCTCAATTTCAAGCTAAATTGACCGAAAAATTAGTCACAAAGTTCGCAGCATTCAAATGAACAACTTTTTCGAGCAATTTAATGATTTTCATTCAGAAGAAACTTGAAAGCGTTAAATGAGTAAGAAAATATCATTTCCAGCACTTTCGACATTCACAGCAGCAACTTTCTACATGACTACATATGAAAAATGACTTGAAATATTTTACAAACCATAACTGACAACTCAAAATGCTGTATCGGAATGAGAGGATAAAAAAGAATAGCATATAAAAAAGTTTAGAAATAAATTTGTGTATTATGGTCGGTACCGACCAATTTTTTTTAGAAGCAATAAATATTAAGAAGAATGGTAAATAACAGTAAAAGCAGAATGAAAACTTTTCAGCAGAGATTTTTTTAATACTCTTGTAGAAATGGAAATAAAATTGTATATTGCGAAATTCTGAGTGTGATTTTCACAATTTATTTGCAAAAGTTATATTTGCTTTGCCTCTTAAGTAGTATTTCTGCTGGATCTGAAACCAGATCTTTAAAAAAGCTTTTTGCTAGATTAAATTTGGTATGAAATATTGTTTTATTTGCTTCAGAATTCAAAGGGATTGTTCATTAATGGTGGGACATGGGTTCTATGTGGCAGTCGGGGTTGGATACTTAAGTTTTTTAAGTAAGCATAATATGACTTGGACTCCTACTTACTTACTTACATTGCGAAATATACGATCAAATCTTTCAAATTTGATTTTTTTGAGCCAGGCCTGATCGGCACAAATTGAAATGTTTGCCACCCAGCAGCTAGGTTGATTGTATAATTAGAACCAAGCGGATGCTGCTTGAAAGTTATTTGCAATCGGGTGACAAATATTTCAATGAATTTCAATGTGTGCCGATCGGGAGGAGAACTTAAAAAACTGCGCCTCAATTTGCAACATTTTCCATACTTCCAACTAAAAGCATGGTTCAATAAATACGCAAGATTTTTCATTTCATTTTCTATTTTTCTTTTCTCTTTTCAGAATAATTTTTCTATTAGAATAAACAGCAAAAGTCGCAATATTTTCGAGAATCAAACGAGATCTCCAACAATAAACAAGTGTGAAAAGGAAATAAGAGAATAGAAACTCATTCAATAATTTACTTCGTGTATGACTGAATTTCCAGCGAGAGTAAAATAACAAGCTGACAACGAAGAATTCTCAATAAAAAGTTCGATATTCATCTCCAGTTGTGGTTTTTCGTGGCAAAACAGAAAGTTTATTTTTTGCAAACAAACAAAAAAGAATATTGAGCATAAAAAGAATCATAAAATGTGAGGAAATATGATAATGAAATACTGAAGGAGGAATAAGCGAGCTAAATAGTTACTGACATTCTGAATGAGAAATTGAACGTTACATTATCTATGAATGCGAAAAACAAGTTATTAACGACGCCTGAAACTTATAGATAGATCCACATCCATTCTTAACAGTTCATATAACTGAATTTATAGGATAAATAACACACTAGAGTGAAAGTAGCATAAGAAGAGATAAAAATCCTAAAAGGACGACAAATATCTCAACTATTTTAATACTTTTGTTGTTCCTGTTTAACTACAAATAATAAAGAAACATCCAAATAAATTAAAAGAAAGGAATTAAGTAAAGACTCAACGATATCTTCAACACAGCACAAACATGGGCAAAAAGAATTCTAAATTAAAGCAGGATACAATCGACAGGCTGACGACAGACACATATTGTAAGTATTCTTAAATTTTATTATAGATATATCATAGATGCATATTGAGCCTTTTATCTTCATTTTAAATTACGAATTAGGATGAGAAAAATGTTTCGGCTGCTCTTCTTTATCCATGGCCTATTGAAAGCTGTGACTGGAATTTTAATTTATTTTTTGGGGTTGTTCTTTTATAACGTTTGCTTATTAATTGGAATGGAAGGGTAAGGGGTGCAAAAAAGCTTTTTATAGTAATAAAGACAGACAATCTAAAAATGTACAATTTTGGAGAAAGGAATTTGCATGTAATTGTCAATATGTCAGTTATTCAGGTATTCTAAATGAACTGAACATGCCTTCGATATAATTCTATGTAAATCATGCTGGACTATCAAACAATTTCAGACCTTTTGTTTCCTCAAAATCAAAAACAAGTCTCCTATGAGATGCTCCACAACTCAACCAAAATTTACCAATTCCCCAACTTAATCCTAAATTTTATTCCCATAAAAATTCCTTACACAGTCAGAATTTTCTTGATGCGGCATGCAAATGTCCTTGAATACTAAAAAAAAAGGTTAGAAAAGGGTTCCTTCACCGAATTGGTTTGTCATGAGAAAATTCCTTAATAAGAAAACGAGGAAACGAGAACAGAAAGAAAACATTTTGTGAATGGATAAAATATATTTTTTTGAGTGATGTCTCACTGACAAGAAGATTAGGATGTGTTTTGAATACATTATATGGATCTGCTTTGTCTTCTTCTTGTCTCTTTTGTCCCCCTAAGGATTTTAATTTTAATTTGATTATTTTTCTTCAAGAATTAGAAACAAATGCCTTTCTGAGAGTATCATTTGGGCAACAAGCATAAGTCTTGTCTGTAATTTTCGGGGTGTAATTATGGATAAATTATAAGATCTTCTGTTTGAGTTTTGTTGATTAGAATAATTTTAAGTTTATGTGGATTCAAAGAAGAATTCAAATTGACAAAAGTTTTATATATTTTCGATCAGAACTTGATGCCATAAGTTGAGATAATTTAATGGAAATAACAAGAACGAGAAGTCAATATCGAGCTTTTAATCTGAAACTGCATTTAATATTCCATCAAAAATTTGCTGATCCATAAAAATTGATGGATTATTAAATTCGTGTTTTATTATTCATAGCCAACAGTCATTCGTTGAGACAATTTTATAGACTTGACAAATCATACTTTGTAGTCAAATAAAAGAATGAAACCCCGAATGGAACTTTTACAAAAGATTCTGTTGATAATTTGCCTAATTATTAATTCAAATCTATTAAGAAAGTAATAAATATCCATAAGTATAGCATGTAATCAGACAAGGACAATCAGAATATATCACCATATTAAGTCTAAGATTGTGAGCGACCCCAAACCCAAAAGACGACATTCGATTGCATGACAAACTTCCATTAAATTTAGTCAAGAATGAATGTCAAACATCATTTACTTTCGAAAAACGTGCTGAAAATCGGAAAAAGTAATAAAATTTCTTATTCAACCGAGAATTCGAAATGAATGTTCATAAGCTCTTCATGGCAACAAGACTAGTAGATACAAGGCAATATTCATAGATGTAATTTTCATAATAATTCTTTTATCCACTCAATACAGTATGTGTGGTCCCTTCCTAATGTCTATCGTAAGAAATCTTGCTTTACATTTTCCATAAGTCTTGATTTTCTCGCATTTTATGAAAATTTTGTGAAAATTTTCGACTCTCTTTTCTTATAAATGACAAAACTTTTTCCATGCTAGCGTATTTTTTATTCAGAGCAAAAGGAAGAAAAGAAAACATTTGGAAGGCATGAGAGATTACGAATGGACCAATAAAGCGAGAAAAATCCTTATTTGCCATTACTGCTGTGAATGAAAAGTTTTGAAATATTTCTTCGTTCTCCTAAATGGCCAAAAAAAATCATCAATAATCAAAAAATCTGCTTCATTCATTTTTCAGTAGGACAGAGGAAGTTTGCTTGATTCGATGATGGAAATATTGCAATTTGTTAAGTTTTTTCTAAGTATAAGACAGTATTGACCTTGTGACATCATAAATCATTTTAAGGCTGCCTCAGATAAGCTAAAATTATGATCAAATCATTATTCAAATGAAATTTTCAAGCAATTTTGCGCCTTAGTCACGACCAATTTCTGATTTAACCAACCAATTTTCCTTCTTATTTATTCAAAGATTTTTTTGTTTCTGCTTTACGTTGATTTCATGATAAACTTCTTCTCATTTCTCAATCCATCACAAAAGAGCACACCCGTACTTCCTCAAATATTTCATTCAACATTGACCAAATGGCATTCAACAAAGTTGATTGTGCTCAAATTGCGTGCAATATTCAGACAGACTTTTTCTTACTACTTATTTATTTTATTCAATCTGAGAAAGACAGAAGGATGTGATAAATTACATTCATATTTTACATGTTCACTTGATTCGACAGTGGCTTAGCCAGGGGAATTTAAATATTTTTGGACCCCCCTCCTCCTTAAGAATTTGTTGCTTCAGATTAAATAATATCGATTTTTGAACTTCACTCACTCTTCCAAAGAAGAACCAGTCCCTAGTTATGCTTCTTTATTTTCCTACTTATCCTTTTCCATACACAATTTCTTATATCTTGTGCTTCTTATCATTTCGTTCCAATTTCAGAGTTTAGTGAATGCGTATATACATTTTTTAGTGTATAAATGTCAGGATTTGCCAAAAAAAAATAAGAATGAAAATTGAGGACACAAAAAAGAAGGGATTCATTGTACGGAGTTAGAGTATTAGAAAATTGCCATTGTTACATGCTCTTTTGTGTGATATGCGTTCAGCTAAATTCGAATACTCTTTTATTGAATTCAATTGGGGATTATTTCTGGATGTTTTAAAAATGAAGGCAATAAAGTGGAATCAAGGGAAGATTTGAGTCGCATTACGAAACCTTTCAGACCTTAACAAGGAGATCTGACGTCATAACGTTTAAAAAACTTTTCGACTATTTTAAGAAGCTGTCTTGAAGACAGAAATAAATGTTTATTCCATCTTTTCATTCACAAAAGTCATTCATAAGGAAGAACAGCACAATTTCCTCATTCATGGTCCTAGATGATTCACATGAGGTGGAACTGAAGAATGTATTTATTGAAATAAGGTATCGCACAACAACATATCAAGCCATAACAAAAGCTGTAATTCGTCTATTCATTTTGGTGATTGTGTGGATCCCTTCATGCAAAATATTTGTGTGTACAGCTTGAATAACATTTGCTTCTCTTTTTTCTCTCATTTCATTTCATCACCTTGTGAATGGTAACAATCTCTAGTCACAGAGAAGGAAATACGACAATGGCACAAAGGATTCCTAAAAGATTGTCCCAACGGACTTCTAACGGAGCAAGTAAGTTAAAGAATCTTTAAAATTAAGAATTTGTAACAAGGAACAAAACCACAGAATTTACATAACAGCATAACTTTATTTAATTAACAAAATGCCACTCATTATTGTGTTCATTCTAGGGCTTCATAAAAATCTACAAACAGTTCTTTCCACAAGGCGATCCCAGTAAATTTGCATCATTAGTGTTTAGAGTATTCGACGAGAACAATGTAAGTTTTCATATCAACATGACATATGTCATATGTGGGGTTTGTATGAGTCTCTTTTATGGAAGTAATAAGACATAAACATAGCATGATGTTATATGACAATAGAAGCAATAATGGCAAGAAGAAGCAGCGACAGCTTTTAAAGAATTTTTACCACGCATAGGAACGATGAAAGTGATGTAGGAAGAGGTGTTGATGAAAAATTTAAGGCATTTTAGAGAATTTTAATCATTTAAGATTCTTAGAGGAACTTTCTTTCCAAATTCTGCTAGTTTGAATCTTATTAAAATAAGCTTTTATCACAATTCTAATGAAATATGCATGTGGGATGGAAGCGCCAGCAAAACACCACATGAATGATGACTCTGGAAAACGAACTTGACTCTTGAAACTTCAACATCCGTAACTTTCTACAATTTTATGTTTCTATAGATGAAGAAACTTTATATACGTAGCTTTTGCTTATGTTGATTAATGCATAAAGTCATTAGGGGGTTAAGAGAAATTACTTTATTTTGCTGTTGATGTAACTTCCATTTTATAAGACTTATGCTAAAGTTTTAAATGACCATTAAAGTTTTGATAATCAAGGATCTTTGCAAATGTCATTTAAATGAGTTCTCAGGAGAACTGATGCTGTAAGCTCATCAATTTTTCATGATGAGAAACAAAAAAGTAGATTTATCAGAATTAGAAGATTTATTGGAGTTTGGAGATCTAGGGAAGGGTCGTTTAGAAATGACGTATATCAACTGATTTCACACCTTCCTCAGCTTGTTGGGATTTTTGAAAAAAAAATTCTGGCTCCATATTTGTCTGGTCGTCAATAAAGAACACAACTAAAGGTTATTAAACATTTAAATTTAAAATTAATTTAATTAAGCTGGACATTTAGGTTAAATCAATAAATTAATGCTTCTGCCATAAAAACAATTAAAATTAAAAATATATATAGTAAATGCACGTTATTTAGTGGATAATGAATATAGCGAATATAGATAAAAATTATTGATTATTTTTGATATATGATCCTTAAATTTTTAAAATATATACTGAATCTACCTACATAATAGCATATTAATTTTCAGATAAAGTTGCAATTGAATAAATGAATTTTAAAATGTTGCTCATTTAAACTAGAGGCATCAAGCTGTTGCATAAAAAATTAATTAATTCAAAAAATTTAAATTCAGAACCTCTAATTTAAATGCAACATTTATTAATCAATCATTTTGAACTTTTGACTTATCAAATATTTCAGAACTTTTTTCCAATCAATAAAAAATATTTTAAATTTTTTTTTCTCTTTTTCCTCTCTTTTTTTATCTGTCCAAAATCTTCATGATTATCAAAAATATTTTCACCGATAAAAAAAATGCCATAAATCATCGATCTGACATACACAATAATACACATTTATTACACACACAGGATGGTTCAATAGAGTTTGAAGAATTCATAAGAGCGTTATCGATCACATCACGTGGAAACCTGGACGAAAAATTGAATTGTGCGTTCTCTTTGTTAAAATTTTTGAATTATTAAAACCTTAAAAAGATAAACAGTTACTCTCTTATGTCCTATCTATCTTACTATATGCATATATATATTTATTAATTGGATTGATTGTGTTTTTGTGAAAAAAAAAACCAAATTTATTTTATTTATTTATTTTTGGACCCGAGGAGCATAAGAGCTGAAGTTGTGGATATAAAGTTGCAGTCAATATTAAGACTTGAGTGCTGCTTCACCTTTTATGTTAAAATAGTGAATTTCTCCTGATCACAACTCATCACATCCTCCTTATGCATCTCGGGACCTTTCATTATCCTCATTGCACATATCAAATAAATTCATGAGACTTGCCAAAATGAGTTATGATTTAATTTCTATTTTTATTTCCATCCCACTTCCAAAAATAGCAATCTTAATGAATGATATATAATAATCGTGTTGGGGTGTTTGCCAACGGAAATAAATTTTATTTTTCTACGACTTTTATTTTAGAAAGAATTCAATTTTAAGAATGGAAAGGAATAATGTATGGATATGAATTCTTTATGAGATACAGATGTTCTTCAGAAATTTGTGGAATATTTTCAAGCTCATGTTTGAACTTGAACTTGATTTATTGTGAGTGTTTGAGCACTTTTGCTAGCTTCAAGGTTTTGAAAGTATCTCATCACAGCTAGTTGCTCATTTCTTAAAGTTTTAAGTGATTCCACAGTATTTCCGTATTAAAATCTCATCACTTTCTAAACTTTCACAGTTGATGACATTAGAATTGCCAATGGCAGTCATAAAATTGAATTACAAAACAAATGCGAAACCACAAAATACATTTAAATTTTGTATACATTTGTGGGAATTGAATGCACTCGACAAAAAAGAAGGAAAAAAGCTTAAACATCTCGTAATAAAGTTGCAGTTTGCTTCAATTGTGCAAAATAAAATGAAAATTCATGAGAAAATTCAGTTTTAAAATATTTATAGAGATAAAAAAAGAACTCTCAATTGTATCTCATGTTGCTTGCATATCCGCTTTCCTGCTTTTGTTTACTGCAACAGAAAACAAAAGAATTTCCATGGAATAAAAGCTGTAAATTCTTCAAATAAAGAAAAAAACAGCAGAATGCAATGCAAATTTTTTATTTATCTCCCTCTCACTTGTATGCAGCATACATGGAACACTTACTGCATGTTTATTTAGCTTCTCCCTATATTTCACTCCTGTTGTGCATTATTTTGTTTTATTCTCATTTAAAAAAATAAGAAACATTTGGGTAACATACAACTGCAAGATCTTGGAAGCATAAGAAGCAACTTTGTACTTTCTCAAATTCATTTTGAGTTTCATAACGATTTGAAAATGTGAACAATATTGTGCTAGTGTCAACTAAAAGCTCGTATTCGTTGTTTATGGCAATAAAAAGTTGGCAATGATGATCCAAATGTTGTCAAATTGAAGATTTTCAAGTGCTTTTAGTTCCTGGATGGGAACATTATTGCGTATTGCAGTTAAAGTTAATATTGCGTCTCTTTTAATAAGAAAATGCGCAAAAGCATCTAGTGTGCAGCTTCCAAGATGAAGCATGAAACATAATGACGAAAATTATATATCAAACTCAATTTTGTAGTTCCATAATGAGAAATAATGTGAACTTGCATAAATTTGTCACGTTTCATGAGCAATTTTTTCAGCAACTAACTGTGAACAAAGTTCTGTGCTGTTATTGTATAGCAATTCTCAAATTTTTCATCATTATTTCTCAGTTCCTTATGAATTTGCTCCTTGAGAAATTATTTTTCTTCATTATTTGAGCTAGCGCTAGGGAAATGCGATGAAAACAGACTGAAAGGAACTGAAGATTAATGAAAAACTTTAAATTTGATTTAAAATTAAATATTCATCATCTGACGAGTTCTAATGACTAGAAGTTTGGTCTAATTTATTCGAAATTGCAATTTTTGAAGCTGTGATGTGAAGTGTCAACTGGAAAATTCAATCAGTCAAGGAACAATGACAGCAAACACTCCCATATCGATTATCTTATCCATTCGCATATTCTTTGAAGCAGATGACTGACGAGGTTGATTTTCATTTTAATTTCCTGATTTCGTGAGCAAAATAATGATGATAATAAGACAGTCGCCCAAAAAAGGGGAGAACAACATGATGAAAAACTTTTCACTAATTTCCAATTGATTTCCCGTAAGAATTTTAGTCAGAAATGATGAAAAAATTTATCAAAATTTCTCACCAAAACCTTTTTCCACCATGCTGTATTCCCCCTGAAGTAACCTAAAGTGAATAAAGCAGAAGATTTTCAATTTGTTTTAAGTACCCTTTTTTTCGGATGATGGAAAAGTTACTGTGCTTTTAATAGCATAGCACATTACTTTCTCGATATAATACACTTCTCACTTTATCGAAAAATACTTACTGTTTCCCAAGAGTACTTGAAACTCAAGCTCATCACCATTTTATTGCATTTTCCATTAAGCATCTTTGTTATCTTTATTTATCTTTCTTATCCTGTTACTCTCACAAGGGCGTTTTTCTAGTTGAGAGAAGATCTTTTTGGTACTCGACAGACTGTCTGATTGAGCATTTGGATGGGTTACTTGAGAAATTGAATGTTTTATTTTTAGGAATTTGTTGATGTCCTTGTCAATGTGCTCAAAATAATTTGAAACTAATGCATTCATTTGGGAAGTTCTTTATGGGGGTGAACTAGCAATTTTTCGAGAAGAGGGTTTCCTTAGTCCTTTAGCTACGCTACTGACCCTTCAAAACCAAATGATGGAAAATGCGTCATTATATTTTACATGTCTTAATTTCTATTACTTGTTGTAACTATAAAATTATACATTTTATATTGTTTATAACTGTTAAATGGCTCATCATTTTATACTCATTGTCTCTATCATACCATTCATTTATCATTCATCCTTATCGTATATTGTTCTTGAATAAGAATAACGAGACACAATGACTGTTATGAAACAAAAACGATTGATAATATCTGATGGAACTTTTTAAGTGTTTTTTATAATTAAAATTTTTGGAAGAGAAATTATGATTATCTATGTTTTTCGCTTCCTTGGTTCCGCTTTTATTGACGTCCTTTTGGATATTCACAAAATTTATTTTTATGATTGAAGAAATCTTGGAGTGGACACGTTGGTATTGCTGTCTATTTTTTATTGCTTTTTAAGAAGCCTATATGACTGGATACTGATTCTGTGGGAATATGAATCTAGTTTTATTATTTTGGATATGATTATTATTTGTAATCGGCTGTGCTGTAATGAGAAAATAACGGTGATGTATCTTAAGCACCTTTTCCAAGCGACATAATAGCTTCATTTTGCTTTTAATCGCCTTTGTTGTTTCGCTTGGATTTAATAATTCCTCAAACGACTTATCAAAATAAAATTACTATTTAATTCCCCAATTCCTTAACTTAGCTGATTAAGATATGTCACCCAAGTATGAAATAAATTCATGCAATAGCTTATTTTCAATAAATTTCTTTACGCACGCATGACCTTTTAATTTTGAGTCTTAACATTTTAATTTCCTATTCACGCAATAGCACTTGTGCCCATTCCTTGATTGAAACCTCCCGAAAAAAAATGTGAATGAACAAAAAATCTTTGGATGATAAGCAAAAAAATCAATTTATTTTTCTTCATCAATTTCTGTCCTTTTTTCTGCTCAATGTACTTTCTTTTCTTTTATAATATCTATCTTTGTCTATATCTATATCGATATGTACTGTCATAATAATAATAATAATAATAATAGAGGAAGACTCTCGTTTTTCTGTGATGTTGGCTATCTTTATAGATGTAAATCTGTTTTGATATTCTTTCAATATGTTCTTGGGTATTTTTGATGAAATTGGTGCATATTCTTGCTATAAAAAGATTCTGTTGGCAATAAAATTTGAGAGCTTTGAATTTGCCTAGTCAAATAAAATTTTATGCTGATCAGTGGAAGCAAAACATGCACTTCAACCATCAAAAATATAAAACCGACTTTTTTGCTTCAATCTTTTTTTATCATCCAAAAAAATTAACTTTCAATCCTTTTGGACATAAAAATAATACCAAACTATATAAACTACAATCCATACTGAATATGTGTGTGTATGTTATCACAATCTACAGGGGCATTTAGATTATATGATGTGGACAATGATGGCTTCATAACCCGCGATGAAATGTACAATATTGTGGATGCAATTTATCAGATGGTGGTAAGTACTTCCATTTACAATAGTTTTAAGTCTCTCACTTAACTTTTTATCTACCATTTTGTGTTTCGCATTTTACCAACAATATTATTGAAACAATCCTCGTTCCTTAATTGTTTTCCGCTCTTACTGTAAAAAGCTATTCAAGTGGCAAAGGGCAAATATGAGGCAAAGAAGAATGGAAAGGAGTTTTTTTTAAGTATGAAGAAGGAAAATTGCTGGTTGTTGGTTTTCATGATAGAGGATTAGCTTCAATTTATACATTTTAGTTTCTTTACCCCTATAATGTTGTGGACTGAGATGGAAAAGGCTTGTTTGTGCTGTAAATTTGTAACAATTTGAGTTTCACGACTGAAAATTAAGTTACTAAAGGAATTACTTAAGTCTTTATAATGTTATTGAAGGAAGCAGGGTTGGTTACTAAGCACTGCAAGAAGTTAATAACTTAGTCAATGTCCTTGATTCTAAAAAGCAAGAATTTTTAATTTAAGCATAGTTGGATTGAGAAAGAAGCCTCTTGTTAGTAATTTGTTGAAATTTCAAAAAAATTACAAGTCTTTCCCAAAGCTAAGAGCATTTCAGTACTCAGTGTAATATTCTCAATTTTCTATAAGTGTGTTTCTATATTTTAGCTCTCTCAACTTATGAAAAATAAATAAATTATCGTTCTTTAAGACACAACAAGCAGCAACACGATGAAAATTTTCAAATTATGAAATGAAGAAGGATAAAAAAGTTTAGCTACAGTTCAAGCCGTTCGTTCTTGTTTTAATACATAAAGATGTTTATATATATCAGCCATCATTTGAAAGCAAAAAGCTAATCCCCGTGATTATTTCAGAGAAATTGCCTTCTGATAATGGATATTTAACTTAAAAGTTTCTTCATTCTTTACTTTTGTTTCACGATAAAATGCGAGAGTTGTGGGATAAAATTCTGAATTTAAAATGATACAGAATAAGATATTAATAAATTTCATATCTTATTTAATAAGTCATAACTTTCAATTATGTACAAATTAAATTGTTGAAAATTCACAGCCATAACTGCTTCAAACGATGCCACTTCAAACAAAATTCACTTAAAAGTGCCACAAAAACAAGACATCCTCTTTTATGCTCCTCATATATGCCATTTCATTTTAGATGACATACATTACATCGTTAAGTATATGAGGGAAACTTTTTTAAGCTTGGCTTGACACAAAACCAAGAAGATAATTTGTTTCCAGCTCTAGAAAAATTAATCAACAATTTTTCAAAATAATAATAAAAAGGAAGACACAGACATAAAAGTAATGATGAAGATTAAATAATGGAGGTTTAAATTTTTGACTTTTCATCCGAATAAATGGAAACTAGAGAAAGATGGAGCTTTCACTTATTGCTCAGGGGTCGGAACTTGCTGGTATAACATCTAGATTGAATATTGAGCATTAACTTTAGTATTTAGGATACTCTGTCCAGAAGTTAACGTTATTACTGTCTATAGAGAATGAATCATCCAGTTCCTCATATGCAGTATAAATTTGATGACTAATCATTCCCATCCCTGCTATCTTTTATTTCATCTCAGCTAGTACAGCAAAAAAAAATAACTCAAAAAGTACTTTGACAGTTCTGAGTTTATGACGTTTTGTTGATGCTGTATTGTATTGTGTTTATTATGGGAGTTTGTAAAGAAAATTTCATGGGATCTGACTCGCTCTTTTGCTCATCTTCAAGACTAAATGAAATTCAAAAGAATATAAAAGCCATTCATTTTATAATTGGGACAATTTTTTGATGACACAACAATAATTTTTATTATTTTTTTTTCGTTACTTCTTCGAACTTTATTTTTTCATTTTCATTATTCTTCGTCTTTCTCGTCATTTTAAGTTTTGGGTACGAAAATATTAACGAAGCAAATGAAGAATGAAAGGGACGAAAGTGATTATGTCATCATAAAATTTTGTATTTGAATGATGTGAAATTTGCGATGGAGGGGATTATAAGTTTGATCATTAAAATGATAATTTTGTTCATTAACGGAATTAATGATTTTTCATGCTAAGCTGTTTGAAAGAGCTTCAAGAGAAGATTGGTTTTTTTATCTTTTTAAATTCTGCTGCTTTCCTAATTTTTCTCGTTTATGGTTGCAATAGTAATGCTGAATTTTATTCATTGATCTCACGATTTCCTTACTTTTTCCGCTTATGACATCAATTATTTGAGGACTTTGAGGGATTAAATCCCATTTTATAAAGGACGTCAATTTAGTGCTAAGCATTATGAGCGTATAAAATTTATTGCATAACGATAAAAGCAATTAAAGCTATTAAATGGTGAAAAGTGCAATTAAAAGAAATGAACAAATCCTTTTAAAAAACTTTCCTGTAAAATGAGTCTTCCAAAACTCATAAAAAGAAATCCCTTAAAAATTCTATTTTACATAATTAAACAATTTGTTTTCTTCCTCATCACGCCATCCAACTTTTCCTCCCGTTTCCTTGAAAAAAAAACTTTTGTTCGATTTATTGCAATCGTAAAAATCATCGCGGGGAAAAGTTCTCTATCGACAATTGCATCACGTAACAGCAACTGAATGTAGGAGGAATGAGAATTGTTCAAAAGAATTAAAAGAAAATGAAATTGGGATGGAATGAAGTAAAAGTTAAGAGAATGTGAAAAACGCAGGAAAAATGTTTCGAATATTCATCTATAGATATCGAATGTAAGGGGAAGTTAGGGGTTTTAAAGCTCGGTTCGTGTGTTGGGTGTAGTTTTAAGGTCTTTGGCACAGAATTTGCCTCCTTTGCTAGGTATACAAGGATATACTAGCATATGGATGACTTCCTTACGGCATCTTGCGCACACGAATTGTGACTAGGTACATTGCAGGGTACATAAGGTCTCATGACGTCCTCGTGTCTTTGCAATGTGCAGAGCTTGCAAGTGGTTCGGATCCAACTATAAACTGTAGGTCTAAAGGGTGTGGTACAATAGATTCTGTTCTAATTTGAATCGCAGTGTCTCCAGCGGAAAGGCTGGGCCCTTCACACATTATTATTATTATAGGGGTTTCAAGCTGATTTTTTTTGTAGGTTATGCTTTATTGCTTAATAGGATTGTTTAAATTTTTGTAAATAGTTGAAGATTCTGGGAGATAAAGTTGTAATTGTTACAGATTCACTGATGGGAGATATCCTTAACAAAACTGATAAAAACCTACAAAACGAATCAGTCAAAGCTCGACGGTATTCAGAAGTTTATAGAAGTTTCTGGGTTTCATCGATAGAATTTTAGAGTTGAAGATCGGTGGCTGGGATTTTTAAGCTCTAGAATTCATAGCAAATTAAAGAAGTTTTCTGTCGACGTAGGTTTTAAGCTCATACCCGTCTTGAGATATACTTATATCCCAGATCCCATCCTCTTCTTCTACCTTATTATCAAAATAAAACTTTTGCTTATTACATCAGATCTTTTATCTTCTCAAATCCAAAAACTGCACACTGAGCACCCTAATCAAGAAAATAAAAACACAGAAAAAAAGTTAAACTCGATGAACGAAAGCTTCAATGAGCGTGAAAAAAATACTTTTTTTCCCTCCTTCCATTCGCCGCTTTGTTTGAAGAAAATGAGAGCAATAAATGGCAGATGAAAAGTTTTATTTACTTTACTTCCGTTTTTAACCCCTCGATTTTATTTTACACAGAAATAAGCAGCAACAGCAAATTTAAAACTCTTCCTTAATAAAAAATGCTCGATTAACAAAATAATTTTTTTTCTCTCTTGTTATCTTTTTCATCTCAATAATTAGGGTCAACAACCAGCAACAGAAGATGAGAATACGCCACAGAAGCGAGTCGATAAAATATTTGATCAGATGGATAAGAATCATGACGACCGTTTAACGTTGGAGGAGTTTAGAGATGGCAGTAAAGCAGATCCCAGAATCGTACAAGCGCTGAGTCTCGGCGGCGATTAAGTTTTACATACCGTTCTACTTAGCGATGTCTGAAAAGTTTCATTTTATTTTTACTGAAATGATAAAAAGCGTTTCTTTTATTGTTTGTGAAGTAAAATTTGTAAAAAAAAAGTAATAACATAAAAGCAGATGAGATGATTCAATAGAATAACATCGAGGAATTTAGTTCCATGAAAAAAAAGGAAAAATTTTATCATTATTTATTTCAAATTCGACATCCTTATGAAGATGAAAACTCACTATAGATATAAATATAATATTGTATAAAAAAGAAATGAAACGATTTTTACGATTTTGTTTACTTCCTTACTTCCATCTGGCTTCAATTTTTTTTCCTGTTTCTACTATTCTCTCAACTATTCGTGTATCGACAGCAACTTGTTATCTCCCATTGAATTAAAAAAAAGTAAATTAAGAGGTTTTAACATGAAGCGTATTTATATCGGGATTACGTCATGACTGAATCTTGTTATGATGATATTAAGAGGGATTTATGATGTTTTGAACTGATTCAACTGAATTTCCTGATTTTTATTGAAAAAGATCCAGTCATCCATAAACTTGAAAAGCAAATCGTAAAGATTCTTTCATTTGTGTCCCGAAAGTCACCAATAAATACGCATTCAAAAGCAAGAAAGTTTTAAACTCAATTTCAATTCCTTTTGAATCGAATTTTTATGATATTTGATATAGTTGTAAGAAAATTGATCATTCGAATATTTCGCGAGCATGTTTCTCCTCGAAAAACTATCATAAAAAATAAATTTTTATAGCATAAAGCTAGTGTATGTTGGGAATTTCAATCGTAACTGCATATAATAAACTTAAAAGAATCATGAAAGGATAAGATAAAGTCTCTGCTTAATGTAACAGTAATGCAGAGATGGTTACATCTTCCAGATATTTTTTATAACCAGCTTTTTAAAGTGAAACTAAACTTATATACATATAATCTTGTAAACAATCCATACATCTAAACATACACACTGTAATGTACAGATAGCAACAAGGAACGATAAAAGACGACAAGCAAGGAAAGAAAAAATTCACATAATTGAATTAAGCTAAGGGGAGAGAAAGAAGCAAGAAGATACGTGTGGCATGTTTGAAAGCTAATACATCTGCGAACGGATAACACCAGACTTTCATTTTCTCCCAGCTTTATCGTTCTCAATTCTATACAATTTCCTTTCACTCCGTATGAAACTGTGAATGAAGCTCTCTACTTAAAATGGAAAAAGAGAAACAATCTAATTCTTAAGATAGATTTCGATGACGTTTCCGCAATGAAAAGAAGGAAGCGAAAATTGTGATAAACAAGAAGCATGCACAGCTTCCTCAATAAACTTTATTACTGTGAATTAAAGCTCGGATGTTTGTCTTTTGCAAACTTTCTCTAAACATTTGTTACTTACATTGTGTCTTGAGACAAAAGACTCCTTTTTTTGCAACTATTTGTTGCATGTGACATGACAAACTTCAACCTTAACGACATGCAACATTAAAATCCTCAACAATGACACATGCTTGGATTGTAAACTTCTCTGTGTCTTTGCAGGAGCATTAACTCTCATACCATCTAATTTATCTCCATCTTAGTATTTTTTATGTTTGCATTGCTGTTTCTATTCATATTCAAGCAAGTAACACAAATTGAGAATCCACGTCAGCATATAGAAATTAAGAAAGATACAAAGATGTACTAAGATTGAATTGAGAATTATTGAGATGAATTATGTCTGCAAATTTGGCTATTCGACGTTCAAATAGCTGTGAATATTAAATTTTATTCTAAAGATACAGAAATTGATTCAATCAATCTCCAAAGTTGAACAGCTAATTTGTAGAAGTCATCTGTTATTGGTGAATCATCAAGCTTTAAGACCAAAGTTATTTCCAAAATACAAGACATCATACAAAGTGAAAAATAAGAAATCTTGAACACAGAGCTATGTAAAGACACAAGAAATCCGAAAAGCTTTTTGCAAAATTAATTTGCAATTTCATTCACTTGATTATTTTCGTCATAAAGCTTCTTTTCCTATTTCTTGATTTGGAAAATTTCTCCTAAATTAGGAAAAACTCTTTCCCATGAATTCACATGAAAATTGAATTAAAGATTTTACTTCCTTTTTTTCCGAATCGATTCTTATTCTTACATTTCCAATCAGACTGAATTAAAGTTGGAGAATTTTCATGAAATTTCAATTAGCTTCGAGAAAATGCCAAAGCTGGATGAATATCACTGAGTCAGTAGCAAATGGTGAAGAAAAATTGAGAGTGGATGAGTTGAGGGAAAAGACGAGATGGAAAGAAAGAAATGAGATGAGAAAAAAATGTGACGTTAATTAATTGAGCAAGGAATGGCTCTCTCATTAAATAGGAAAAAATCAAAGTCAGTCAGTCGAGTGAGGATTGTAATCGAATTAAGTATTTAAGCAATACAAAACACCAAAAAAAAAACCGATAAATACAATATACAAAAATGGTATATAAAAAAATTATGTAACTTAAACAATGAAGTGAATCATGTGAGGAAAATAAGAATAAATGAAATGACCTAATAAACTTAATCAAGATAATAGCAAAAATGGGAAAAACAAAAAAAAATAAAAAATTCACTCAGAATGTTTGTTGAAAGCATTTTTTAAATTAAAACATAAAACACAAGCCAATGGATTGTCAATGAACGAATGGTGAAGTTAATTAATTTTGAAAGTTTCAGAGTTGTGGTTTGAGTTTGAGAAACTAAGCTTGAAATTTTGAGTTTTGCAGTCAATTTGATTTTTCATTTAAAATTTCTTGAATCTTCACCTGAATTGTCAAACTTCCTTTAAGTTCCAATTCTAACCAAGATTTATTTTTCAATCTTTTAATCAATTCTTCAAAGTTTATGTTTTGAATTGTGACCAAATTGATCTTTTAAATGATCACAAATCCTATTAATTTCAACTTAACAACTCTGTTTCAAAAAGATTTTTCAACTTAATTATATTCTCAAGACTTGAAACTTTTCAAAGAGTTCTTCTTACGATTGATGTAATTTCTATTTCTACAACATTGTACCTTGTTTTAATTGAGTTGAAAAACTTTTTATTTCTTTATGTTCCCATTCATGCCATTCAATTTCATTGAGAAAAAAAAATATCTGAAAAGTTAAAAAATATATTGTAAGGATTTGAAAAAAATGAGAGATTCTTTATTACTTAAAAGAGAAATTCATTAAATTGAAAGTTTGTTGCTTTTTCTTCTACTCTTCAAAATCAAAATAATAAGATAAAAGTTAATTAAAGTTAAAGATAATATTGTAATTATATTAAATTAAATTAAAGAAAGTCATTGGGAAAATTTATGAATGGAAATGTTCAATGTTGTTTTGAGAAAGTTTTGTGAGATGCTTCCAGTTTCTTTGAATGGATTTATTCACTTACAAGAATGTTTTTGTGTGGATTACAGACAGTAAAATCGTAGGATGAAGCATTGTGGGTTTCATTCATGTAATTCCTAGTAAGTTCGAAATGTTTTTTCAAAGTAAAATACAGAATTAGATAAATTCTAGCTCTCAGCTTCTTAAGGCACTTACAAAAATGCGACCATTCCAAAGAAGAAAGAAATGACATTTTTCACAAGAATATTGTAAGATCTTGCAGATCATCCTCTGACGCAAAACTAAGCTTACCTAAAGCTTTTAATACAACATCTTTAAAAACTTTCCCTAAATGACTTTGAGAATTTTCCTTCAGCTTTTCTTTTATAAATTTTTATCTACAAAAATCAAGTGAATTGAAAGTTAAAAAATTTTAATACAAAAAAATTAATAAATAGCAAATTTTTAGCTAATATTTCTAATCCGTCAATATATTAAGAAGATATGAAAGATATTAAAAAAATTCAAAAAAAGTTCAGCAAAATTTACACTATAATTAATCATAAATCTAGAAAAACAAAAAAAAAAAATCTATTGTAAATTAATTAAAATTTCAAAAGATGAAGAAATAAATCATTGAATTGCATAAACTATCATTAATTTTTCCAAAAGGGAAACTTTGAGAATCTGCAATTTTCGTGATTACGGAAATCTCAAGTTTGGATGTCTATTAAGTCCTAACAAAAATAAGAAAACAAAAAACAATCCTAAGGAATTAAATGAAAAAATCATGCGGAATTATTGCGTTAAGTAGTTAAAGCTTTTTCTCAATCGTTGATGGATGAAAATCAAAAGGAATTTTAATTAATTATTGAACAATGGAAATCCTTTCTGGTAATCTTTTTTTCTGAGAAAGTCTTAAGGCGCTGATAATTCCTCAAACTTTTTACAGTACTCTTCTTCGCAATGGTTTTAAAATAATTAAAATATTAATGACTAATTTTCATCTTGAGGAAGCATGGAAGGAGTAGGAATTTAGCTTCTGTGGTCGATAGCAACAAATTAAGTTTCTAGTTGCTCATTTCTTAACTGCTTTAAATTCGCAAGTCATCAAACGAATGTTGATTCTTAATCGTCAAAGATGTAACCGTTTTAAGATCACACGGCTCCAAATCAAGATCCCCAAAATTTCTTATTCCTAAATATTGAATGCCTGACTTATCAGATTCAGCAGTTGATCTATACCTACACACCAATTGACGAATATATGTGCGCTAGATCTCAGTACTGAAAAGATTCCATCTGACTCTCAGTATTACAATATTCAGATAGTAAAGAACTGAACCACTTCTGGAAAATGCGTTCTTAAATTAACATCCCAAAGCTAATCCAAACTACTCTCTTATGTAGACACTGAGGCTTAAAAAAAACTTCGATAAAAATCTTTAATTATAAAACTTTTTTTTTCTTCCTCGTGATTGCTTCTTTATCTCGAGAGAAATTCTCAAGTCAATTTTCTTACGCCGCATCAGTCTGCTGAGCCTCTGCTGTGTTTTTTTTTATCCATCCATCCTTTCTCGCTTCCTCTCAAAAACATATAACATGTTTTATTGATGATGGGTTGAAAGATTCTTTCATGCGGTAAAAGTTTTGTTCGTTGTTAATTTTTTGCGCTTATGAGGATAAGTCCTTTTGGTGAGTTTTGTCAGATTCTTGATCCTGATGGAGTTTTCAGATTTGACCTTTAAAAGATTTCACCTTTTTCACAAAGTTAAATATTCATGTGATGTGTTAAAATTTACTGCAGATGTAAGTAAAATGATTAGCAGGTATAATATCCTTCGTAGCTTGTTATAATCACTG